AGATTTCTCTGGAGTTTTGTATTCCCTCGAAATAGTTGCATACTATTCTCATTATCACAATAAGTTGTGTAATTCCATTACTGTAAACCAACTATTATTCGCGACGACTTTATTTCGCGATTTACCAGAGATAAATTGGTTGGCGACGATTAATTTTCGCGATCAAGCCTTTTTGCATCTGTTTCTAATAGACAAATTTACTATAAGGACCGCTTCGCGGCGAGAAATATTCGCGATGACGAGGCTCTCGCGAACTTCGCGAAAATTTCTCGCACGCGAATAAAAGTTGGTTTACAGTATATTAGATGGTCTTGGATAGGTCCATTTAAGGTCAAGATCTAGTAAATGAAAGGTGCCTACAAATTTCTCTAACTTGGGAAATGTATTAGTCATTTAGCTTACAACCAAAAAATATATAAATTGAAAAAAAGGTATTAAAAGTACCCAAAAACCTTGAAAATAAGACGGATTTAATATTAAGCCTGTTTTGAAAATAAGCCACCTATTTCTTGCATTGGAAATTACTTGAAAATAAGCCGGTTTTTGTAAATAAGCCGGTCACAACAATGTCATGAGGAAAGATGTTAAAATAAAATGATTCTTTTTCTACAAGCAAGATACTGAACATGGTATCATTGTAATTATTTTATTATAAACATTCTATGACATTCATGATTTTTTTATTTTTTGAATTAACAAGTAGTTCTGAATCTATTGATTACAATTTATTGAATAATTGTATTGATAATAAACTGTGATTATGCTCTGGTCGCTTACCTGATTTTTGCATTGATAATAAGACGCAATTTGAAAATAAGCCGGTTTTGAAAACAAGCTCCCACTTTCTTACCAAAACTTAAAAATAAGCCACAGCTTATTTTCAAAGTTTTAGGGTATTTTGACATGATTTTTAAATAGAATTCCCTGAATTTTAAAATGCTTTATTTCCTACAACTTTTATTGAAGCTGTAATGACGTCATAATGGAACCCCCTAATACTGAGCAAGACTGCACAGAAAAAAAGGATTTAATTTATGGAAGCCTAAAATAGAAATGATTTTAAAAATTCGTAACTGGAATTATAAAAATTAAACGCACTTTTATTCAGTGTGTGAGTGAAAAGTCACGAGTTTACACATATATAAAGTCTGCAAAAAGAAGGTTTAATCCTTTAATAAATTCATTTCTCAACGTAGATAAAATGAGATATTAAAAAAATCTATCAATTGCAGACATGTTGGGAAGACGCCATTACTGCAGGAATTTTTTTAAAAAGAAAATATTTAGATTTTGAAAATTCTTTGCTCGCGTTAAAACTACTAATAGTAAAAATACTTGATTTCTACATAAAACTGCTGGTTCACAGATGGGCTTGGTAAAAAAACCCAATATGCAGTGTGGAAGACAGTGACATACAAAAGAGAAGTAGGAGGGGCTTGAACACATGAATTTACGAAATCAAGAGTATACAAATATAAGAAATAACTGTCATTTTTAGCTCTACTGGTCAGAGACCAGAAGAGCTTATGCGATAGTAATGCGTCCGGCGTCCGTCTGTCTGTCTGTCTGTCTGTCTGTCTGTAAACAATTTTTCAAAATGCTACTCCTCCTACAGTTTTGGTCTGATTTCAGTATAACTTGGCACACAAGTAGACTACACTAAGATACATAATTCTGTGCATCGCTTTTTGATTTCAATGATTGGTATTGCTGTGGTTGCTAAAAATAGAAATTTTGGAGAAATTCTTTCGAAATGCTACTCCTCCTACAGTTTTGGTCTGATTTCAATATAACTTGGAACATAAGTAGACTACACCAAAATACATAATTGTGTGCATTGGTTTTTGATTTCAATGACCAGTGTTGTCGTGGTTACTAAAAATAGAAATTTTTGTGAAATTCTTTCGAAATGCTACTCCTCCTACAGTTTTGGTCCGATTTCAGTATAACTTGGCACACAAGTAGACTACACTAAGATACATAATTCTATGCATCGATTTTTGATTTTGATGAATGATGTTGCCATGGTTACTAAAAATAGAAATTTTTGTGAAATTCTACCCCTCCTACAGTTTTGGTCCGATTTCAATATAACTTGGCACACAAGTAGACTACACTAAGATACATAATTCTGTATATCAGTTTTTATTTTTATTTTTTGGCAAGGATTATTTTTTTCTATTTATTGCTTTTTTAGGTCACCTGAGTAACTCAGGTGACCTATTGCTATCCGTTTTCGTCCGTCGTCGTCCGTCGTGTGTCGTGTGTTAACATTTGAACATTTTCAGCTTCTTTTCTTAAACCACTGAACCAATTTCAACCAAATTTGGTATACAGCATCTATGGGTGAAGGGGAACACAAATTGTGAATTTCATGGTCCCCACCCCCCTGGGGCCTGAGGGGTGGGGCCAAAACCACTAAAATTAATGAAATCTTTAAAAATCTTCTTCTTTACTCCTGGACATCAAGCAGGCAAACTGTTGGCATGAATGTAATGAGCATTGAGTCCTCTACCAAAATTGTGAAATTCATGGCCCCAGGGTCAGGAGTTTTTGTGCTAGGGCGGGGCTCTATAGATTATATAGTGAAAATGCATTATTTCTTTGAAAATCTTCTTCTCTGCTCCTGGGTATTAAAGAAACTAACTAAGCACATAGTTATGATGAGCAAGAGTGCCTCTTCCAGATTTGTGAATTTTATGGCCCCAGGGTCAGGGGTTCTGGTGTTAGGGCGGGGCTCTATAGATTATATAGTGAAAATGCATTATTTCTTTGAAAATCTTCTTCTCTGCTCCTGGGTATTAGATAAACTAACTAAGCACATAGTTATGATGAGCAAGAGTGCCTCTTCCAGATTTGTGAAATTCATGGCCCCAGGGTCAGGGGTTCTAGTGCTAGGGCGGGGATCTGTAGATTATATAGTGAAAATGCATTATTTCTTTGAAAATCTTCTTCTCTGCTTCTGGGTATTAAATAAACTAACTAAGCACATAGTTATGATGAGCAAGAGTGCCTCTTCAGATTTGTGAATTTTATGGCCCCAGGGTCAGGGGTTCTAGTGCTAGGGCGGGGCTCTATAGATTATATAGTGAAAATGCATTATATTTTTGAAAATCTTCTTCTCTGCTCCTGGGTATTAAATAAACTAACTAAGCACATAGTTATAATAAGCAAGAGTGCCTCTTCCAGATTTGTGTATTTTATGGCCCCAGGGTCAGGGGTTCTGGTGTTAGGACGGGGCTCTATAGATTATATAGTGAAAATGCATTATTTCTTTGAAAATCTTCTTCTCTGCTCCTGGGTATTAAATAAACTCACTAAGCACATAGTTATGATGAGCAAGAGTGCCTCTTCCAAAAATTGTGAATTTTATGGCCCCAGGGTCAGGGGTTCTGGTGTAAGGGTGGGGCTCTATTGATTATATAGTGAAAATGCATTATATTTTTGAAAATCTTCTTATCTGCTTCTGGGTATTAAATAAACTAACTAAGCACATAGTTATTATTTATAAGCAAGAGTGCCTCTTCCAGATTTGTGAATTTTATGGTCCCAGGGTCAGGGGTTCTGGTGTTAGGGCGGGGCTCTATTGATTATATAGTAAAAATACATTAATTCTTTGAAAATATTTTCCTTTGCTTCTGGATTTTATGCCAATGATCCAAGTATATATATATATTTATGATAAAGAAAGGTGCATCTAGCAAAGTGGGTTTTTTTATGCCCTCAGGGTCAAAGGGGGGGGGGGGGGTTACATAGTCTGAAAATGAATTAATGCTTTGAAATCTGCCCTTTGCTATTAATCAACCATTTTATTATTACATTTGCAAAATTTGGAAATATGTGGCCCATGGGTCAGTGGGTGATCACGGTGCACAACTGGTTATAAAGTGGAAGTGCATTTTCTTTCTGTTACTCTGATCTACCTCTGGGTATTAAGTAAATAGAGTAAGCATGCTAAGTTAATAATTATGATAAGCAATGGTGCCTCTTTCAAAATTGTAAATAGTGAATTTCATGGCCTCCGGTTTAAAACACGAACCAAATATAATTGTTTGAAAGTTGTTACACAATACTCAGGTGACCTATAAGGCCCGTGGGCCTCTTGTTAAAGTTTCAAGTCCCAACTGCTACTTTTCTCATCCTTTGTTTTAAGTATAAATCTGTAGAGCTACAGTCTCGACAGAGACTTCTGGTTTAGTTTTATGATGATAATCAAGCAATTGGCTTGCCTGATAATTTTATGCATAAACGCTTTAATTGAAAATATAAATTAATAAGCCAGCCAATTGCTTGATCAGATAAAAAGAAAATACCCCAAAATGCACAGCAAAACTCGTTTAGCACAAACACGGATATTGCGAATTCACGAATATATCGAAGTCATCTTTGGTTAGAGCGTCTGCTCTAGAGTCGCGAAGTAAGGAGTTAATCCTTACGTCGCGTGTTCGAATCCCACTGAGGGACGTAGAGACCGGACCTTCGGATGAGACAGTATAAACCGAGGTCCCGTGTCGCAGTAGGTGCTGGCACGAAAAAGATCCCTCTCTGCTCAATGGCCCTAAGTGCCGAGTAAAGGTCAAAATTTGCCTTTACCGGCATACGGTGACGTCTCCATATGAGTTAAAAATTCTCGAGAGGGACGTTAAACAATATACAATCCATCAATCAATCAATCCTTTTACGGATATAACAAATTACGGATATAGCGAAGTAATTTCACAAGTCCCAGTGACTTCGTTATAACCGAGTTTTACTGTAGACAGTTACTGTAAATCACATTTTATTCGCGAGAACTCTATTTTTGCGTAATTACGCGAGACAATGAGGTCGCGAAAATTTCATTCTCGCGTTTTAAAGTATTCCTTACGATTATTTAGAGGAAAAACAACAATTCGTGAAAATTATGTCTCGCTAATAAAGAGTCAATGGCTTTCTCGCGAAAATAAGGTGTCGCGAAAATTTAGTGATCTACAGTAGCCCTTAATTTTAGCGCTACATACGGTCCACCCGCCTCCCATTGTGTCCATATCACAGAGAACTTCTTTATATGTAGAGTTGTTCCACGGATAGATCTTATAGATGGCTGTTCTATTGTACCCAGCTTTCAAAATGTCCAGACAGTCCATTAAAGCTTCTAAAATAAAAAAAAGTACCAGTTATTGATCACTTTGTCTGCTTTATACCCGGATATAAACTTATGTATTATGTCCAACACTGAATTAATTGTCAGTTTTTAGATATATATTAAATATGTTTTTGCTGTAAACGTTTGACATTCCTAATCTTTGGAACAATGATACTCAATAAGTTAATTACAAGATTTTAAACATTATTACTGGATGGGAAATTCCTGTCTTATAAATTTTGACATTCCTAATCTTTGGAACAATGATACTCAATAAGTTAATTACAAGATTTTAAACATAATTATTGGATGAGAAATTCCTGTCTTATAACTAGCATGCGAGGGACGTTTAATAAATAATGTCATAAGCTCGATGACATACAATATGGAAATCATATGCCACTAAGCTTGACGTTTTCTAATTAATGAATCTTTAATGCATTGTTAGAAATTTATATGAACACTTTTCATCACATTTTTCCATTGTGAGAAGCTGGAAAACAATGGCTACTCGGGATACTGCTTTTAAAATGAAAAGTCAAGACCCTAGTAAACTAGAATGGAATTAAACGCTCCATTAAAGCTGTTGTAAAACTTGTTGAGAATCCCAAAGATATAATAACTGAAATGTGTAAAATTTACTGCAACCAATGTCTGTTTTATACACACATGAGCAGGTGGATTTCAATAAACAAAAATGATGGGCATCAAAAATGGGCACTAGTACTGTCCTTGGCGACAAGGACCTCCAAGAACCAATGTATATTTGCGAAAGTTCAACACATTGTCACCGAGTATGTTTGATTGACTTTAAGACACATTGGAAATTTGATATACATTATTTTGGGGGTGGTTTACACTGCTTTAAAGAAACATTTGATAGTAAAAAAGTTTAATACTCAAAGGTCACCCAATATTATGAAAAAACGACAGCGTGTAGGAATATCTAAACAATTATTTTTAAAAATAAAAAAAAAATACTTATCCATGTTTGTCTGAAATTTAAACAGATAATGAAACTTGAATCTATTTTGTTTTAAACCATCAAAATAAATTTACAATGAAATAAACTTGACAAAGCAGCAAAGGTCTGAAAAGAGCAAAGAATTGCAAGAGCACAAAACAATTTTATATGCTGATATCTTAAATATTAGTGGTTTTGTTGTTCAAATTCTTATTGGCGGAGTAATTTCAATTTCATGAAGAGTCTAGAAAGAAATGTTTTTGCAAAAAAGTGAAAGTTTATGAGTTGAAGGAGCAAGAATGAGGAATTCACTACATTAAATTTCTTCATGACAGCGTCCAAACCTACAGGCCATGAAGAAAGTTCTGGGGTTTAAAAAAAGTTAATATTTTGTCACACCAACAATATTGGCCAGCACTTTCAACCTTTGACTTGTTTCATTTCCCAAACTTGAAGAAAAAACACCTTTCAGAAAAAAAACAAGTACAGGAAATCATAGGATCTGTCATATTCCAGTATACAAAGGGTCATACTCAAACATGTGTTCTAAAAACAATTAGAAATGGAATAAATATGTTACATACATGACTTTCAATGAAAAGAGAATGTTTTAGCTTAATCATGAAGACTAAATCATTGAAAAGCGTTTTTTGTTTCTTTCCGAGCACCAGTGACATTATTTATTGAACGCCCATCGTATTTGCACGCAGCAATTCTTTTTCAAAAAGATTGAATCTCATGCTTTCGTTTTTCGAAATATTGTAATAATTTAACTAATTCTTGCGTTGCTTTTTGTAGGTATATCAATAGAGCAATCATAACAAAAAGTATTTTAAAAAATCAAATAATTATATATTAAATGTTTGATATCATAACACTTAAAAAATAAAAAAAAGGAAACCAGCTGTCAAAATAAATGTTCCTGCTGCACATACTATAAAATAAATTTGATACAAAAATCTTTATTTTTATACACATAGTTAATTGCAGTTTCCAACTGAGTGTTATAATTATTGTCATAAAAATATATTCTGACAATCAGACTAACTTTAATTTTTTAAAAAATTAAAATACATTCTTTCTAGGGGGAAAAATCATTATTTTTATATTAAATGACATCTAATTTTCACTCATGGGCGCTAAGTTTGGCATTTTCAGCTATCATTCTTAAATTCTTATATTATATAAAACATAAGGGATTTATGCAAATGTAAAAAGACTTAAGAGTAAAGAGTTTGTTTTAAAAATTTTACGGTGAGTGCAGTTGCTTCCTGTCCATCCCGCTGTACATCCGGTTGGGCATGCGCCACTCATACCATCACAAGTTCTATTTATACAATGTCCACAGTTAGACATACAGGTTCTGCCATATTTGCCTGCAGGACAAGCTGCAACAAAAGCATTAATTATTGTATAAGGTGTATAAAAAGGGTTAAATACAGCGAAACTGGATTTAAAAAAAAAAATTACATTTTGAATTCAAAATCCCTGTTAGTAAATGTTTTTTGTCAAAAAAATGTGTTTAATCTTGGATGTTGTCGTATCCTTTATATAAATTATTCGCGTTCGGATCAGACTGTGCCTTTAAATTTATTCATGCCTAAAATAGAGTGTACAGAAAATGTTCTTTTTACTTTTCATTAAAAGACAAAATGAATGGTAAAATATCTTAGCTTTAGGTAGTGTTTATTTGTTAAATTCACTCAGAATGGATTTTATAAAAAGATTCCCTTAATCCTTAACTCATATAAAAATGAACTTCTAATGAAAGTCCAGAAATAAGGACCGACACAAAGGCTGTTGGACATAGCTTAAAAAACCGAAGCAGGTTATTGACACGAAAACTAATTGTTTAAATCAGATAAATAAATATAATAACATTTAAAAAAATTTCGTACACTAATTCAAAGCCAGCTTATCATAGACTCTTATAATAACCCTTTGTAAGTAAGTTGAGATTATTTCTTGATCATTCTACCGGGATGTAAATTTCGCCAAGCGACAGGACAGGAGCTAAAGAGGCCTAATATGCATGTAATTCTTGCGCGAATGTCTTTGTGTTTGACGTCAGTGGGCGAGGACAATTAAAATTGACATGGAAAGCCTCGTGCAATTTAAATAAATTAGTCTACATTTTTAAAATCTGAATTCACAATTTTATTTCACTATGAAATAGAAAAAAAGGAATCACTGTCTAGTTATTGGAGTATGCCATGGACATCAACGATTATTGGAAACTTGGGATAATATATGCTAGCAGGTTTCGCTATCATTGATGCTTAGGCATACTCTTTTAACTAGACCGTGATTCCTTAAATGTACCATTACTAATCGCACATGTCTCTTATTTGATTCATTTCACAAGAGCATGTTCTACTCATATACATGTCTTAAACGATCGAAGCAAGTCATTAACCAGTATTTAGATGATAGAAAGATATCTACAGTTTTCTCTATATGAGACAAAATTTTGGTGTCAAATTGTAAAAGGGCAAAGTTTCATTAAAATTAAATACCAGTTGTTGCCAAAAAATAATAGCTCTTTAAAAGTACTTACCAAGTCCTTTGTTACATAAATCAGAATTACAACACATGGAAGATTTCTGATTGATTGTCCTCTTTCCAAAGGCATCAGTTACTGTCACACCTACTTCACATTCCTAGATAATGAAAAAAAAAACATCAGGTAAAATTTTTACCTTATAAATAGAAATTTAAAAAGACAGATTCATTGAATTTCAAGGCCACTTTGTATATCAAAAATATAAGAAAAATGGTTTACAGGATATTACATTGACGGAACCATGCAGAAGATTGGCCAACATTTTATCTAAATTTTGTTTATCTTCAGAAATACATATTCTCTTGGGGTTTGGTCCTCGTGACCTTACTAATAAAGTTTTAATTATTCCGTCCAACAATGAAGATTCTAGATGATTGCAATTGATCGTTAAATTGTAGAATTAAAAAAAAGTTATTTTGTTTTCCTTTTTAGTAATAGTCCACCAAAATTTCACCAAATTGTATCTACATATACTTTCTAAGCTGGATTGTTCAAAATGTCATGGATATGATCTAGAAACTAGTCAATAATTTATTTATCGTATAAGTCTCAAAACAATTAAAACTAATGTTAGCGTCGCAACACACTTTGTCCCACTAAAGTCTATACGTAAAAACTGAAAAGAATCCAGGTTTCACAGTTTGCAAAATATGCTTCTACTTGAACACGAATGGAAACTGCTTGGAAATATTTTTTCAAAAAGAGGAAACTAATATCATGGTCACCTTTTTAGCTAAAATTAATCATTTGATAAGGATTCATAGATGTAAGCCTTACGATATAAAGGATAAAAGCCGGAATTTAAAACAAAACTAACAGGGAGACGGACAAAGTGGATATGCAATTCTTTAATCAAAAGAGGGGTGTACGCGCTAACGCGCTTAATAAAATACATGAAGCGTCGTACTTCATGTCCTCATGAATCTTCAAAAATGAAATTCTTTGCATTATATTTACATTATTAATTTTTTCTGATCGTATCTACAAATTTCAAATGTCATGTTTCAAAGCAAAACAGTTTGCACTATAGTTTTGACATCAAGTACGGTATTATTTCGTAACAATGGTGATATTCATGCTCATTCATGTTAGTTCATGACAAAATGAAGTTCCAAATCGAAACAATTGTTAATGAACATTACGTTTCTAGTTAAGTTTCAAGGTAAACGCAGAATTTCTTTTATTTCCACACTGGACAACAAAAACAAAAGCAACAAAAATTCTTTTTCTCCTACTTTGTTCGACATAAACTTCACAAATAAAGATAGATTGCAAATTGGGCTCTTAGATTCTGTGTAACACGATTATAAATCAACTAACAATTATTCCAGTTCTTTTTCAGTCAATGTAATTTTTCAGCCATATCCTTCGTTAAATTGATTTAAAAAGCAATAATTTTATAACGTTTCTATACGTTATCCTACTAGCTGGATTTCCAGACAAGATTTTTATACATTTCCTCATTACAACTTTGACACCAAGCAATATATGTTTTCGGTTTTAAAGAAACCTTTGTATACCCATTGTTTAAAGTTACCAATCAAGTGTCATTTATATTGATGTGAGTAGTAAATCGTGAATTACAGATATTTTAATTGAACTGACATTTTATAATATGATGAACATTACTCCAATGCTTAATGGTTCATCAACAGGAGCGTGTTTTACAAATACCCTTTATATCATGCTTATGACATTTATCCATCTTCAATATAAATTATATTTAACATCTCAATTAACTATGCTTTTTTAAACCCCTTTGCGTAAAAACGAATCTTACAAGGATAAAAACACTATGTTTGAGTTTTTCATGCATAGCATTTAAGTTTTCGTAATGAGTTCGACTTACATTCTGAAGTAAACATGACGACACATAGAACTTGTCCCCGAACTCCTCTTCTTCATGCAGATGACAAACCTTTTAAAAAGAAATATACATAGGATATACATAGCACAGAAGTTAAGAAAAGGTCAGTAAAAGATCAATGCGATAATATAAGTTTTTATAGCTTTGTTTCGAAAACCTTTATCATGTTTATCCTATTAATTATTAAATAAATTAAATAAAAATTCAAAAATATTTCAATTTGTCCAGTGGCCATTATCAAGCCAAGGCTGAATCAGGTAATGAAACAATAAGTGTTTAAAATATAAAGCGTCTTATATTCTCCCTCACCTCGTTCGTTTGAATATCAATTAATTAAGTGCCAATTAATCAACAAACACATGTGTCGTTTACAGGATGCTGCTGGATAGCTCTTTATTTTCAATATACAAATATTCTCAAGATCCAGAGATACTATATAATACATGTCAATTCCAAATCATCTATAGAAGATTCCATGTTTATATCATCCACAAAATATTCTTAATTCACAGTGTATCTTACTTTACATTCCAAGAACTAAGCGAGCGTAGATTAACGCACAACCCTGCGAACTGCTATTTTTACCAACAAATCACGTGACCCTAATTTCGAACACGCCACAACTATGGCCTCACATAAGTATAAAAAAATTGGTTTTCATATTACGTTTTTATATTGTCAAAACGTTTGCCTCGGTTTGGACAATATAAACAGTTCTTCTACCGTCCATTGACAAAACAAATAAATCAGAAAAGTGATTATAAAAATATAATTAAATTATTACCTGATCAAACTCGCAAACCTTGGCGTAACGACAGAGTTCCGGGTTGCTGCTCTGTTTACAGTTAAAACACAAAGGTCCACGTTGAATAGGAAACCCTTCAAGCAAAAACAAATGTTTTTCTCAATTTGGTATTTAATTTATGTAACGGTATATATATATATATATATATATATATATATATATATATATATATATATATATATATATATATATATATATATATATATATATATTGAAACAAAAAAATCCACAGTGCTCGGTAGTTTACAGGTAAATCTTTTTATATATATATATATATATATATATATATATATATATATATATATATATATATATATATATATATATATATATATATATATATATATATATATATATATATATATATAGTCCTATGTAGGTAAACAATTGTTATTGGAAGACATATAATTAAATCCACTTTTTTTTTTATGAAGAAATTTCCAATTTACCTGAAGAGTGACAACCTTGTATATTACAGGCATCAGATTTGCAGCAGTGTACACACTGTGGATTCTCACTTCCGGTCAAATGAGACAATTGACGTCTTTTAGCTGATATTTGACGGTCATGGCATATCTATATATAATCACAAGGTACAATCACAAGTACAGTATAAGGTTGAAATATCGACATACAATTTCTCTAATAAATATTTTCTATAAATTTTAAATAAAAAATATGCTTGGAAATAAATTTTGATAATCCTATCCTTCCTAGGTACAAAAAATATTATTGAGTACAGTAAATAATACAAAAAATACATGTACATGTATACTCAATAGGTGAATTATTCGCAGCCATATATCGTTGCATTTTTTAATTAAAGTCTCTGTAGCTGACTGTGGCGTAACTACCTGTAACACGATTTTTTCGGTTCATATTTGTACACTTGAGTATACACGAAAATGACATTTAAATCAATTTACAGTTGGCTTAGTAAAATGCATGAAAAACAGCAAATATTAATGTTAGCGATTGATAAAAAAAGTACTCACCCTTTCGGTGTAGCATCCCATATTGTAAAGCTGTTCTCCATTGATTGTCCTGAATTGTTCTATGTAGCATACCTTTTAATTAGAAATACACAAACCACAATAATTGCTTAAAAATAGTTGTTTATTCTTTTATTAAGACAACATTGAGATCGACATAATTTAAAATTTAAACTTGAAGACATTTTCTAGTCATCCAAACGTTAATTTGGTTCTTGACCATTACGTATTCAGTGGCGAAGTTTAAAATGATAAATCCAAAAGTAAATCTTTCCATTCCGAGTTGTTTTGTAAAATAGTTTAAAAATTGGAAAGTGAACAAACAATAATCTACCAATACATCGTAAAGGATGGGTCGAGTCATAACATGCGAAAAAATATAGTCTTTAATTTTTTGCATTATTAGAAGGAGAAAAAAACAAACAAATTCAGTCTATTTTACAAACTTAAGTCTTTAAAAATTCTTACATCACCCGTGGGACATTTTCTGATGAGATGACAGTGGAGAGGTGATACAGTATCTATACAGGATAAACAATGTAAGGATTCTAAAAGTAAAACCATATTACGAATTATATACAGTATTATATTCTAATAATAATTCTAAAAAAGAGACACACACTTCTAAAGAAAAAAAAGGGGGAATATCCTATCTTTTGTTATGGGAATACTTTAATACATATATAAATAAACTTTAAATTCCTTATAATCATATATTTTAAGAATATACCTTACATGTTTATACGATTTTTAGAAGGTTATATTTATGCGTTTGTTAAAATCAAATATTTATATACCTATTTAAGTCTTATCATTTGTTTTTCTTAAAATTATGAAAAATTCTTAGTTTTGCAACAGCATAGAGTACCTTTAATAAACAAAAAATGAAGTGATAAATATTTTTATAGCACTTTACAATTAAATTTCGTAACAGGATGGACATAAATGTCTTTCGTTGTCTCGAATTTGCCAGATTTTACAAAATTATGTTTTTATTCTACATTTCTTTCTCTTTTCTTAACCAATAAATTTAGAAAAAGTCAATTTTTATTTAAATTGTAGATTTCATTGTCCATCCAATTACACTGTTTTGTCGATCCTGTTACTGTTTTGTCTTTAAAGTACTGTTACCAGTATATTTTCCTAGTTTAAATTGCTTTGGCAGAGCACCTATTTAAATAACTTTCTGTAATTTTTTATTCTAATCACAAAAATAGTGTACAAGAATGTTTTTTTCAACTATAGTATATAAACATTCCGCAATAAGGTTTTTTATGAAGAGAAACTGTAGATTTTGCTTCTGCTTGGTATATGGTAGTTTGACATGCTTTTAAACGCTCATATATTAGATGAATGTCAAACATCTTGGCATTCAATGATAATTTTTTCATTTTTTAACAATATACAAAAGATTATTTGATGAAAATTTTGAAATAGAGTTTTACAAAAGTAACAGGAAGGACATTAAAGTTTAAATGACTAAGATAAAATATCAATATTTTTTTAAAGAAATATATTATTTTCTGCAATGCAGTGGATTTTAGTAGTTTATTACTGTATTATTCAAATAAAGTTGAAAAAATCATAGTAAAACCACTTTCATTTTTCAAAAATATGTCATTCAAAAATGAACCTTTTTTGAAAATGACCCATATAAAGTCCTTGACTGTTACTAATAAATTGCCATATGCTGATCGCAAGATAAGGTTTTCCCCATTCTTTCACATTTCGTTTCAATTTTTGTTTTTTTTTTTTGAAAAAAAAATGTCCGAAAGGTGTTTGCTTTCTTAATAATAACTTAAGTCATTCAACAAGACTTTCATGATCAAACAATTTCTGGAAAAAGACATGATATTATGATGTAATGTAAGATGAGAAATATATATTACCTGCAGTACACCATTGAATGTAAATGTAAATAAGGACGATTGACGCTGAAAATTAAACGAAAAAGGTTATGTGCTATAATTATTTATGTTATATATTCATTATACATATCATATTCATTATTTTCATATTCAAAATAGTATTTCTAACTGCTACTTAAAAAATTTACAGCAATTTTCATTGGTCATTATACACAAAGAAAGTTAAATTCGACTTAAATATATTTTACTATGCAAGTTATTCGTGGATGCATTTCCAGAGAATATCCAGATTTAAGTAAAGGAAATATTTTAGTCCAAAATAGGTAAATATGTGATTCATTGAAGTTTAAAAGAAAGTAAATGTGTCATTATAAAATTGATAAGTGATTAATCAATAAAATTATATTCAGAATCTACCTTTGAAGAAATGGTCCATCGTCTTGGCTCTCCAGAATACCTAAAACTGTACAATAACCTCACAGCCAAGAGGTCGTTTATCTATTTCTTATCATTTTTGTCAGTCGATTACGGCACAATCACTGTTTGAGGTCATTAGTTTGAATAGGCGGGACTTTCCGTCAACAATGTAATGGAATTTGGCAGAGAAACTCAAAATATGATGTAAATGACGTAATTGTTTTTAAAAAATTGTAATCTCATTCAATCCGTATGCTCTGAACGCGTCGCTCAAAATCCAAGACGGAGGTGTAGACGCACGTTAATATAGGATACACATAAAAAGTCTTCGGTTACTTAGAATAATAATTACATGAGCTAAATCTGTTTTTATATTACATCTCAATAATCCTTTTTGTGTGTTAAGAACTATATTTTATAAAAGACTGATATTTTGGGTTGATATGTATGTTGGATTTCTCATATTAAACCGATTAATCGTGAAGATGTTGAAGAAGATGGTGTGTCACAAAGTTTGGACATTCAATGTCACAAAGTTCTTAAAATTCGTAAAATGGCAAATTTTGTAATGCTGGGTGAAAAATTAATGTTGAAAATTATTTTAAATTCTACAAAATGTTGCCATGATATTAATAGAAAAATCTCTAGACAGAAATTTAACTTGCGGTGTCTTAAATTTTAACAATAATTGCTGTTTCACATATATGTACAACATGTACATGTAGCTATATGTCACAAATGAATTTGACGACAAACTAAATTCCAGCAATTACTTTCATTTTAAGAATTCATTTTTCTAATTTGGCAGCAAACGACATTAAATACAAAATGTGCAAAATCAAAACTTTATTTAGATATCAAACTAAATTGATTCTATAAAACGGTATTTGTTTTACAGGCTTTTTACAATGTCAACATAAATGTCACACAATGTCCAAAAGTAATAAATCTAACTATAATTGTATAAATGTGGTAAAATAAATAATATGTATAGTCATTAAAATTAGACATATTAAAAATTTTAAGATTTTTATGAAATGTGCATCTCTTTAAAAAGTTATTAGTATATTCCAAAATAATATTAAATGGAATGGTGACAAGATCCTAACAAAATATAAATGTCAACGTAAATGTTACACATGTAAAAATTTGGCGTTTTGACGTCATTACGATATTACGTTCAATGTATAAAACGTAACCTAAAGCGTCAAAAGATAGTTTTCCCAAATAAACTTACTCTTTAAACTTCCTCTTATTACTGATGAGCCTGATATGGATAAAAGAAAACTGTACCAATAACGATTAATTTTAAGAATAACTTTAGGTTTTGAAAGTTGTATTTATATATATAAAAGTAAAACATGTACAGTGTATACTGTGGTACACTGTATAAGTATAAAACTATATATCCTTGTACCATTCAGAGTCCGAATTAATTAAAGACACGAGAAAAAAAAATCACACAAACCAAAATTTATGCAAGAATATGATTTCAAATTTTAATAACCTGACAGTTAAGTGTGTCAACTCTATTTGATGCTGTTATAAACTGTTCTACATGGCGAGTGTACATTGAATAGTCCAATATTGAATTAGGGTTAGGGGTTGTCCGAGGTTGTGATTTAAATAAAGTATCACATTTTCACAACAAAAGTTCTTTTTGTCATTTACCCGGTAGCATCGTATGAAATGAAAAAAAATGTATTTTAATATATTTTAAACAAAAAATAGGTGTATAGATTTACATATGAATTGCCGACATTTGGAAACAGGGTAAGGCGAGATCGGCTATATTACCTTATTTCCTGTAATTAAAAATATTTGTTTTTCATTTATATATTTGGTTATAAGCAATGGGTCCTTCCTTTTCGTGATTTATTTAGTGATGTTTCATTTTTTCTTATTTAAAAAAAAAATGCTTTTAAACTCATTTAAACCGAACTAAATGGTACTAGTACCTAGTAACAATTTATTTAAACAAAATTAGTTTAGGGATAGGATAATGCCTCTATACAATCTCTTCAATCTGATTAAAATCTTACCCCGCCGTCACCAAAATTCCTCAATTTAATTATATAAATCTAAATCTTGATGAACGCATATACGAAACGTTGTTTGAAACACTCTTTGCTTCCATTTATAAGTATGGAAAGGGCTTACAATCCCTAAAGCAGGTAAACTGCATAGGTATCCAAAGAAGTAGGAAACCTTCGATCATTGATCTGTGAGCTAGGCACGTACGTTGCAAAGCTTATAAAAGGGGGGTGGAGAGGAGAAAACTGGAATATTTTTCGAATAAATACAACTGAAACCTCTAATTAAAGTCCACTTCATCGAAAATTCTTTTCATGGAGAACTAAAAGTGAGGGAGAGGGAGGGGTTGATTCTCAGGTTCGGTACCTCTTCTTTTTTAAAACTAAATCATTTGAAATATTTAGATCTACGAGAAAAGTACTCAGTATGTAAGGGTCTATGTAATGGCTCAAGATGGGATGGGAATAGGGACTTTGAACGAAAAAATTAATTCAGTGCTAAACCAGCGATATACATGTAGTTACAATCGTACAACTTACTGAAAACAAAGGACAGGTTCGAGGCCCTACTGATACGATATAGAAATGTTTCGAATTTATCTGAATTGAATTAAAAGCACATCAATTTAAGATGCGATGTCGAACAAAGTTTGTTAAATGTACACAGCTTTTTATTAAATGAGACAAACCATGCTTATATTTTCCACCCGCAACATGCATACAAAAGGGCAGAGAGAGAGAGAGAGAGAGAGAGAGAGAGAGAGAGAGAGAGAGAGAGTTGAGACCTAAAATATCTGCATCAAAGTAGGGCCACGTATAATATATATTTCCCTTTTGGATTTTTCTGAAAATAGGAGCCCTTTTTTCGCAGATTAAACCAGACACATTTTAAATTTTTTTTAATATAGACTATATGAGGAGAAACATTAGTAAAATACAGTTGATACTTTGTAAGTCCATGCATATGATGATACCCGACTAGAAGAGAATTTCATTTAATCCCGGGATCAATTAAGATTAACTTATAAATATTGAATAAAGCCAGGTATATAAAATCATGAAAACTATTTTACCTTTACTCTAGAAACATCCAACACATATTGAAAAAATAACATAACAGAATAATTTATTTGCTGTATTATATATCTACATTGAACTACATATGAGAACTTAATTACATGTGTCTTCAATGAATTGCACTATATAATTCGCGGTATTACTGGGTTTTTATCTTTTCTTCCTAAAAAAAAAGTTAGCGAAAAAAGCAACGTCAAATTAATTTTCTAGAACTTCACGTTAAATACGTCATTTTGACGTTACTGAAACTGACACCAACACCGTGCGCAACGTATATACGCCTCGGATCTTTCGATTCGGGCGCATAAAAATCATCAACTATCACATCCTATGAAGATATCAACATATTGAAAAAAAAGTCATTTGTTTTGGTAAAGGCCGGTATACACGATGAGATTTTTATAGTGTAATACAAGTATTATAATACTGTTGTATTAAACAACTTCTTTCCTGTTCACACGCTAATACATATCTTATAAGATTGTAAAAAGACTTAAGATATTTCCCCGGGTTTTCCCAAAATGATAAGAAACATTTTGATTAAACAGTATGTTCCCAGTTTTAATTCAGAGAAATAACTGAAATTTGCACACTGAAGATATTCTAAAAATCTTCTTCCCCTTCCCTTAAAACTACACTTACATGTAAGTCGGCTATTCTTCTTTACTATATGTGTTTTCTACTTATTAGCAATTATAAAATAGGAAAAAAATCAACATGTTAGTGCGAGTACATATGATAAGTTGAAAGTGAGAGGTAAATTAAGACATCTATTAAGAAACAAAGCATTGCTTTCTTCTTAAGTACAGGTGATACAAACAATGTTTTTTTTTTTTGGAGGAAATTTAATGAAATATATGGAGATAACGAGCAGTATTCAAGGTAAAAAGTCCATAAAACAATACATTCAAAATAATAGCAGAGCAAACACGAACCTAAAAAAAAATCAGAGGTAATATAAGGTACCATGGAGGAGAGAGCATCCCCTGCCAACCTGTCACAACCGCCGTGTGCTCCTTGTCATTGGGAAATAACTGAAAAATCCGTCGTCATTTCAGTGTAAAATTAATGGATTTACGATTAATTTACCGGTTAAACTGCACATATTTACCCGGTATATAAATACAGAAATTTAGTAAATTTAAATTTTTTCCTCAAATTTCTACTTTTTTGTACAGAATTTTGTTCTGAAAAAAAGTTATATCACGGACTTTTTTATTGAAACATTTAAAGCGCACGTATTTTCAAAATCTGTAGCTAATCATTGTAAATATTTAAGGAATATACCAGTTATACTTAGGTAGCTATTAATTTCATTCCTTATAAAGTAATTTTCCACTAATATAATGTATTAAAATGATGTCAAGTAATCTTTAAAAATGCTGTCGCCCACATGGCACAGTGGTTAGAGGGTCTGCTCCGTAGTCGCGAAGTAAGGAGTTGATCCTTACCCGGTCCAAATCCCAATGTGGGACGTGGAGACCGGTCCTTCGGATGACACCGTATTTATAAACCGAGGTCCCGTGTCATAGTGGCAATACATGTAAAGATGCTGTCATGAAAAATATCCCTCATTGCTTAATGGCCCTGAAGACCGAGTAAAAGACAAAATTTGCAGCTCGACACCAGTCAGAAGTGGCATCTTCATATGATTGAAACATTCTCAAGAGGGACGTTAAGCAATATACAATCAATAAATCAATCAAAAATGCCTTGAAATTGAGCGTATTAAATGTAACGTCAGGCTGATTTAAACGTTGACATAAGTCAATAAGACGTATGCAACACAGGTTATACGATATAGACTGATTTAAAAAAAAATAAATCATATGACGGGTTGCAAACAAAATTAAATTATTTATTTTTAATTTTTAAGAGGGCTGACAGTACCGGAGTCTACTTCCCTGTGAAAAAACTCTGCAAAGCACAATCAACGCCAAAATATAATTGTGAAGGAGGCTGGAG